GATGTTATGTTTTCCCAACTCTTTCACCAGTTGGCTTACAACATAAATGTTGTGAGGAACATTTACAAATTTAGAACCCCCAAGAATACACACAGTTCGGAGGGGCTGAAGAAGTTTGGAACCTTGAGAAGACTCGGCAGTAGCCATTTATTGTGAGAAATAATTGGCTAAGAAGATAGATTTGCCTTTTAAAGAAGAGAAGTCCAGACAAGAAAGTAGTTGAGTCTTTAATGACTCTGACAGAAGTGATAAGATTTATACACAGTACATCTGTACTATCAAGAACAGTGTTGACAAACATGATCATTGGAAATAATATTTTCCAGACTATAGAGTTTTTCTTCATGTTTGAACAGAAGCCATAAAGACATCAGTTCTCGATGCACATATCCACTAGAATGTGTATCAAGAATCTGCTGAAGAGTATGATCCAGAGATTCCTTACTCAAGCCATTCTTGATGAAGGTTATTTTATCTTCTCGATTATTTGAGACAAAGCCCAAAGAAGTACAGCGAGTATCGCAGTTCAAGCGAGCACATTTATGGCAGCCGCCTATTCTTTTTGCTCTACGTTTCTTAGCAAAAGAGCTTCTACCCATACCTGACAGATACTTGTACGCATGAGGATATTCGCCAGAGACACGGACCTTTGCTTCGATTAACCATCTTATATCATTTGGGATATTATTGAGCATGAGTATTCTTAATCTTTCTACTCGAGCTCGATAAATTCTTTTTATGATATTAAGAGGAAGAAAGGAATAGAATTTTCTGATTTTTAGCAATGCTAAATCCATTGATGAATTGGACCATCGTTGAGGAAGATGGAAGGATTAATGAAGGAGTTATAAAGAAGAGATAAGTATGTGACAAGTTGCAAGGTATGATTAAATAATACCTAACGACAGAATACGCAATCAGAAGGCAATTAATGCGGCAGAGAGAGGATGTGATATGTCAACAATAATGATAATTGTTGATGAGACGAAGATAGCATTGAAGTTGATATGCATTTAATGTGAGGCAATCAGATGTGAGATGTTGGCAATCAGATGTGAGATAACGGCAAGTGAGATGTTGCGATGCAGATGCAGTAATAAAGGTAAATGAAGTTACCTGAGAGGTTGGAATTATGATGTGACCAAAAGAGGATGGTCAAGTTATTAGATCAGTAATTTCAACAAAATTCTCGACTATAATTAAGTCGGAGAAGTTGAAGTTAGACGATATCAATAGTGATATTGAGTATGAGGTTTCTCGGCAGAGAAACAAGTTGAGTATAGTGAGTTATGAGTATATGATGAAGATGTGACTTGTTTGAGTATACAAGTGACATCGATATTATGGTACAACGTATATAGAGGTTCCGCACCCGAAGGGCCCCGGGTTGTGGGTAAATCGTATACAATGTATCGCATAAGTATTTAGATAAGTATTTAATATCAATCAAGTGTGCATAATGTTTTTCACGTATCGATGTTACGTGTTTACGTGTGCGATTCAGAGTATGAGATTCAGATTCAGTCTGATTTAACTTACGAGGAGCAGCCGATAGCAGTTTTGGACCGGAAGGTTCGTCGGCTCAGGAAGCGAGATATTCCCCTTGTTCGTATTAGATGGAATCGCCACGGCGAGTCAAATGCCACTTGGGAGAGGGAAGCTGATATTAGAGCTCGTTTTCCTGAGTTTGCGTTTTGAGGTATGTTTGTTTTTATATTTCCGAGGACGGAAATAGTTTTAAGGGGGGTAGATTGTAATATCCCTTTCAGTTATCTCAGTTATTATGAGTTATTGTTCCAAGAAATAAGTGATTTCGAGTCCAAGATAGTAAGTTATCGGACCGAAATTAAGAATTTTCAAGGAACAAGTCACACGAGTCGTGTGAAGAGACACACGAGTCGTGTGAAGCCACACGAGTCGTGTGGAGAGGCACACGAGTCGTGTGGGATGGAGACGTGATGAAAGTTAGCCTCGGGATTTTGACACGAGTCGTGTGATGAGCCACACGAGTCGTGTGAAGCTACACGAGTCGTGTGATATAGTACACGAGTCGTGTGAGAAGATGAATGATTAAGAGCAAAAGTGTCGGCAAGCCACACGAGTCGTGTGGCAAGGCACACGAGTCGTGTGAGGCCACACGAGTCGTGTGACTCCCCCACACGAGTCGTGTTGCCGACAGTCCAATTGGATTATTGAGAATTCGATTGTGACTTTAACCAAAGGCCATTTTTGATGTTTAAATATGCTTTGGATGGATGAATAAGTAAATCATAAGATATTTTAAAGATTATTTAAGTTTATAAGTTAAATTTTATATTATGATCATTTAATCACTCTATTTGGATGTTTCTCCAATTTGTGCCTATAAATAGAGGCTTAAACCTTAGAGTTTTTACACCAAAATAATTACTAAAGTCATATGAGTTTGTGAGAGAGAGTGAGAAGGAGTAACTTTGGAGAAGTAAGGACATTAGAGTGAAGAATCAAGTTTTTAACTTCACCTAGAAGGAGGTAATTTACTTATCTTAATGTTTCATATTTGAGTTCATGCTTTTATGATAAGTTTACATGTTTATGAGTATGTATATCATGATGTAGAAGTTGGAGTTTATAATTGATAAAATGAGTTAAAGATGTTAAAGATCAATTATGTGATATATGTGCTTAATGAAATGAGATGTTGATTTGCATGAGATTTTCATGAAGATATGAATATGCTGGAAAAGTATGATTTAAATGAATAATTCTTGTGTAAAAGAGGAGTACATGAGATCAAGAATTGAGTGATTTGGCATAGTATAACTTAAGTTATGAATTTTTGAAGATGAACATGTAAGATGAAGTTTATGTTCACTATGACTTTAAATTCTCATAACTTGATGAATATGAATGATTAAATTATGAAATTTTGATGACATGTCTATTTAGAAGTTGAGATTATGACTGTTAAATTTCATAATTTAAAGATGAGAAATGAATGAGTTATGAATATGAGATGGCATATATGTGAAGATGAGTATATATATATACAAGAATATTCATGAGATGATCAAGATATTAAAATGAGATTTTTATGATCTATTCTCATATGAGTGATGAGTAAATTTGATGATGATGGTTTAATATGTTGAGCATACAATTTTATAAAAATTGTATTAAGTATGGCATATTAATATCATGATTGGATGTGATGTTTAAAAGATGAATATGATTGAGTTTAATTTCACTTTCAAGATGTAAAAGTGAAAAATGAGTATGAGTAAATATGAATGATTTGGAGAATATGATATATGATGAGATTGATTGAGTAAAAGAGTGAGAAAAGTTAATTTGAAATGATATGATTATTGAAATTTCTATAAGATTTTAATAAGTTATCCGAATGAATTGAGAAAACCGAGCATCTTATTGAGTAAATGAGCATAAGTACTTAGTATATTTGTTTATATATTTTTATGTAGCTTGAGGAGGTTGCTATACGAGAACAACACTTACGAATTTACAAAAGACGAAAGGTGGGGACCCAGACTGGGTATTACATTGAGTATAATATTGATATCATGTCCGAGGTATGTAAAAGTTTAAGTTTATACGCTTGGGAAGAAGGCTGATGAGTTGCCTTACGAGTATTTCCTAAGTTCTAATGGAGGCCGTTGAGTTGCCTGAGAAATATCCATTAGATTGTGCACAAGTATCCGATGAGATATCGGTGAGATGAAGTTGAGATACTGGAAGAGTTTTAAGTCCAGTTATATACCGGAGATCATGATATTGTATTATTATTGCTGTTTACTTTAGTATGGGTGTTTTTCGGGGTACAAGAGGATCGTACTCACCCCCATTGTGTTTTTCAGGAAACAGGGTCGGGCCGGAGGTGTGAGCTCGAGACGTTGTGGTGGTGGTTGTGCATTTCCAAGGATTTTTATGAAGTCTTTAATAAAGTTTGTATAATAAATCACGCTTTCGATTATTCCGCTACGCATATTGACTATTGAACTTGCATTTTCTTAAATGAATTTATGATTTGAAGTTTTTATAAATTTGAGAAGGATGGATATGGTTAAATGCAAGTTTAAAGAAAATCTATTTAATTATGTCTAAAAGAGTTATTAGACAAGAGTTTAAAGATAAATGGATTTTCAAGATGTAAGGTTGAGTAGCATCCCGAACTAGTCGCAAAAGATTTCGAAAGAGATATGAGTATTTTCGAAGTAAAAGTTGCGAAAAATTTACTCTGATAAGCGGGGTGTTACAGCCGGTCCTAGCTCGCTCACTCAAGACGATAAATTAGACAAGATCCTCCAGTTTATGACGATCCAAGAATCGACCATCAAGCACATGGAGACGCAAATTGGCCAACTCGCTACAAGAGTTGGAAATTTGGAGGCCGAATCCGACAAAAGGAAGATCCCAAGACAACCTAAGCAAGCAAAGGCAATCTTCGTGTTGAGAAGTGAGAAGGTCGTCAATAACCAAGTAAAAATGCCCGAGACGGAAGGACTTAAGCTGACCGACCAACCAAAAGAGAAGGAAGACGATGTCGAGGAAAGCACACAGACCAATTCGAGAAAGACGGTGGAAGGTCCGATTTTACACAAGTCCTCAAATACATTTAAACCACGCATTCCTTTCCGGGCCGACTTCGGGACGAAAGGCAAGAAAAGCAATTTCGGGACCTTTACAACATGCTTTCAAAGGTCAACGTCAACTTGCCACTTCTCGACGTGATAAAAAATATGCCGTCTTACGTGAAATTTTTCAAAGACTTGGAGACGAATCAATGGAGATTCGAAGACAGGGAAAAGGTAGTGGTATAGGCGGCAAGTGCAATGTACCACGACCTACCCAAGAAGGAATGTGATCCCGGGGGTTTCGTGATCAAAATATCCCTTGAGAATGGGAAGGAGGCTTCGGGGATGCTTGACCTCGGAGCCGGGATCAACCTCATGCCATTTTCGATATTACAATGACCCGGTCTCGAAGACTTGAGACCGACTCGGATGTGCCTCCAGCTTGCCGACCGTTCGATACGATATCCCAGGGGGTTAGTGGAAGACGTGCTTGTTCGTGTGGGGAAGCACATTGCCCCCGTGGACTTTGTTATTCTCGACGTGGGAGAAGTGCACGAGAACGGGAAGGATCACACAATCCTTCTAGGAAGACCATTCATGGCTACCACTAACACACTCATTGATGTGAAGAACGGGACGCTAAACATGACGGTTTTGGGTGAGTCCGTATCCATCTCTGTCCGGGACGCCACATCCGCATCTTCGGTGAATTTTGTGGAGGAGTGTGCATTTGTTGATATAACCGACCCGTTCATCGAAGAGATAGCCAAACGAGAATGGGAGACGAGACACATGCCCGACTTTGATGATGAAAAAGAACCGACCATCGATCTTTTTGAAGCCAACCAGTTCCAAACACAACCGACCCTAGAACTCAAAGAATTACCTCAACACCTCAAGTATGTAGTCATTGCTGATAAAAAACAAAAGCCGGTAATCATTTTCGCCGAGATTGTGTAAGATGAAGAGGGAGAGCTACTTGAAGTGCTCCGGAAGAATCAAAGAGCTATCGGGTGGGGCCTCAGAGACCTTAGAGGCATTAGCCCCTCCACGTGCATGCACCGGATCGTCTTAGAAGAAGGTGCTAAATCATTTCGGGATAGCCAACAGCGGCTAAACCCAAACATGATGGAAGTGGTAAAGACGGAAAATCTCAAGCTTTATTCCGAAGGGATTATTTTCCCGGTGGCCGATAGCGAGTGGGTTAGCCCCATTCATGTGGTGCCTAAGAATGGAGGCATTACCGTTATTGAGAACGAGAAGAAGGAGATGATCCCCACTCGTATCACTACTGGGTGGAGAATGTGTATTGACTATCGGCGACTCAATGCCATGACAAAGAAGGACCATTTCCAGCTGCAGTTCATCAACCAAATTCTCGACCGTCTCTCCGGCCACCAATTCTATTGCTTCCTAGATGGACTTTCCGGCTACCATCAAGTAGTCATAGCACCCGGGACCAACCAAAGACCACATTTACATGCCCATTCAGCACATTTTCCTTTAGACACATGCCTTTCGGACTCTGCAACGCACTCGGAACCTTACAAAGGTGCATGTTCTCCATATTTTTCGACATGCTCGAGGACTTTCTACAAGTATTTATGGATGACTTTTCTATATTCGGTGATTCATTTTCTCATTGTCTCCGTAATTTATCTCGTGTTCTTGAGCGTTGCATAGAATCTAATTTTACATTGAGTTAAGAGAAGAGTCACTTCATGGTAAAAAGTGGAGTCGTATTAGGGCATATTGTGTTTAGTCGGGGGATAGAAGTCGATAAAGCGAAGGTTGATGTGATTGAAAAATTACCCCCTCCCGTGAATGTGAAAGGTGCTAGGAGCTTCTTGGGTCATGCTGGTTTTTATAGGCGATTCATCAAAGACTTTTCAAAAATTAGCCAACCATTGTGTCACTTGCTTGCTAATGATGTGCCGTTTGTGTTTGATGATGCATGTTTAGATGCTTTCGATAAATTGAAAAATAACCTTCACTACAAGAAATCTGTCAAAAAGTGACAGATTTCTTGTGACGAAAAAAGAATCGTCACCTTATGTAACCTTATGGTGACGAATTTTAAAAATCGTCATTAAATCATTGCATACGACGACGGTTGCTACATGCGTCATCTTAAAATTAATTTTTCGTCACATAAACGTACTTTTCATGACAATACATTTCAATTCGTCACCGAAACATGTAAATTCGTCACATTTATAACTGTTCTCTGTGACGAATGACTTCTTGTCACAGTTTGTCAGGGAACAATGACAAAGTATATTTTCATCACCGTTAAATACAATTTTATGACTTTGTTTATTTTCATCATTAAATCACATTTTTAGTGACGAATTTTATTATGACGGATAATATTTAATAACAATTTGTAAGCTAATATGACAAAATATATTGTTTGTCGCGAATGAATATCCTTTTTATGGCATCACTTATTTTTGTCGGTATATTACATATTTTATGACGATTCTATCTGTGACAAATTATATTTTGTCACAATTGTGTTAGTAACAATGACAAATTTAAATTTCACCACCAAAGATTATTATTTTCTGACGTTACTTAATTTCGTCACTGAATTCAAATAATTTATGACACTTTTCTTACGACAAATGATATTTCGTCATAAAATTTGTTACGAAAAAATGATGAATTTTATTTTTTTCACCATAGAATATTCTATGCATGACACCGTTTACTTTCGTCCTTAAAACCCCATAATATGTTCGGTCAAGTTGCTCCTCTGGCGAGTTTGAGTAGGCGTGTGAGCTGTCGGCCTGAAGTCGGGGCGTTGGCTCCCTATTCTCTCACTAGTGGAGGTGGCCAATGGCGTCCGTGAGTGGTCGTGCTGCTGAAGTCGGCAGAGGTGGTGGGTATGGTGGTGGGCTTCGATCTCCTGGGTTTTCCGTGGCATGCAGATGAGGTTCCAATTGTTGGTTTTGGTCGAGTTAGACCGGGAACCGGTCACATGATCTGTTCGATTTTCTGGAATGAATCGATTGCTAGCAAACGAATTAAAAACCGATCAAATTCAGTTAAAATCACCTGATCGAACCGGTCCTATGTTCATTGAATTAAATTTTAATATATTTAATAATATTATTTATATACATAAAAAAAACATTTTTAATAATAATAAGTTATTATTAATTAGCTTAAGTATTTGAATGATTTAAGTTAACATAATATTTAATTAACAAATTTTTGTATATATTAATTATATAAAATTATATGTCATATGCCTTATTATCTTATTAATAAATAACCTAAAATTAGCTAAAGTGCCATTAAGAATCCTAAATATAGAAATTACTAAGTGTGAAAATTCATCTCGTCAATCGGCAAAATCAGTTCCCGTAAAAATCAATGTCTCGAGTCTCCTTTTCCCACTTCTTCTTCATCTTTTCTTATGTCAATTTCGAATAAATCACGGAAATAACCAAAAAATCAGTTCATCTTTTCAACCTAAATCGCAGACCCAAACTACTGTGTCGATCTAATCTCTCAATTTCAACCTAAAAACTGAATCAATTTCACAAGGGAATAGGAACTAAATCTTGCGCCATTGATGACGTATGCCACTTGGTGCTCGAAATCGTCGGCGATGACAAGGACGGAGGCGGAGATCGGTTATCTGGAGGTCGACTAGTCGGTGGAGGGTGAGGTTGTGGGTTGTGTGAGCGGACGTCAGAGTCTGCAGCATGGGGGAGCAAGTGGTGTGGTCGAGGGACAGCCACTTTTCGATGGAGGTCCGGTCGTCGATCACGCCGGTGCAGAGTTTCTGTAGAGACATCATCATGCCCAGGAGCTTGCCGGTTCAGATATCTGCAGCTCTTTCATGAAACAGATGCGGAGCCACGAGATGCTGGCCAAGTTCCTCCAAGCCGCAGATGGAGATGCTGATCTACGACATCGACAACATTGGGGCTTCTTAGTGAACTGCCTTCTAAAGACTTCTTAGTCGATGAAAGATTCATTCGAGCCATTTGGATGCTGCTCGAGCTCGATGTCCTGATGAAGAAGAGATTTGACTGGATTGGGGGTATCTAGGTGTTCGCCCGATTATCTCATCGAGAACTGCCACGTTAGCAGAAATGGGAGTCGTGGTATCAGAGGATCGGTAAAGTGCCCATCCGGCTCTAGACCCTTGAGACACCTACTCGTACCTTTTGTTCATGCTCTAGGATGAAAAATCACAGGGATCACCACCTGGTGCTATAGTTCACGTGCACGCCAATTGTGTCAACGTAGTCACCCAATAAAGGAAGCCACTGCTCCTGAGAATGCACTATGTCCAGCACATCTCGGTTAGGTACATCGACCAGCTCAAGTACCAAGCAATGCAGATAGTGGTGGCAAAAAGTTGTCACGGGCTGAGCCCCCGCTTATAGTGGAGACAGTCGAGTACATGCTCGACGTGGAATACAACATGTTAAGCCTCAGGAGGAGCAAGGATGAGGCATGATAGGTTGAGTGTGGCTGGTTTAGGATGAGGTATGATAGGTTGAGGCTTGTAGAGAGACTTAGGTGTAAGTATTAGTATAAGTTCATGTTGAGGTAACAATGATTAGTTGAGCATTGTAATTGCGGTTCTACTATGTATATGCATTATGTACTATGTCATTTGTTCTTTTTGGTTGTACAAGGAATATGGCATATTGGATTTTGCTTACAAGGTGCTTGTGTAAAATGGCTCAATGCTTTGATTTGTGTTATTTTTCTTGTTTTGACTGAAAGTTGCGCTGCATTTTTCTTCAAGAATGCTAAATAAAGTTAATATGGAAGATGATTAACAGGTTTGAGTTGGGACTCTGTGGTGTGTGGTGCATGGAGTATGTGATTCGAAGCCTAAATTCAATTTTCTGCTATTTCCAAACCTGAGCTTTGCATATCTCCTTGTCGGATATTTTTCCTATATATCTACCTTGCCTTTATCACCATATTGGGTGTTCAATGCAATGGCTGCAATTGTTATATTGTCCTTCATAGGATCCTCCAAAACTCCAAAACAGAAACAGATCTAAGTGAGAGACTTATTACAGGAGCAGAAAACATTCCCACAGTTATTGTCATTGTTCATCGATAATATAATTTTTTTTTCTTTCCTTTTTCCACGGCACTGCTGCTTACCTTTCTTTATTTTTCTGAAATGGATAAATGATTCAAGTAAACAAAACTCAAAAGCGTACAACGGCCCAACAGAATGCAATCCAAACTCCCTACTACCGACCAACCAGGAAATCAGGAGACGGGTAAACCAGAAAAGGCGTTGTCCCATAAGAAACTAACCAAACACTAAGCAAGATATTTAATGAAAAACAAAAACACCACCAAGCACTAAAATAGCGGCCCTACAAAACTAGCTAAAACATAAAGGCAAAAGCCAAAAAACAAACAAAAACTACAGATAAGAGAAAAACAACAAAATAGGACCAAAATAAAAAAAAACAAAAACAACAAGATAGGACCAAAAAGAGCAAGAACAAGCCAACAGCACCCAGCAAAAGCAAGACTTTCCCCTAACTTAGCTAAAGTAAACTGAAACTAACTTTGTGAAGTTGTGCTCCTTCAGATATTTGTTTAATGGAAAAAATAAAAACCATAAAAACATAAAAGCTGTAACCCATTAGATTCAAACAAGAACCATAAAACTATAAATGTTGAAACCCATTTGATTCGTAAATTCTAAATTCAATAACTTATTCATTCAGTGTAAACAAACCATTAACAAATTCAAAAAACAACCGTCAACGAACAAACAACTCTAAATCCCTTCACAAAAAAACCTAAGACAAATGAATAAAAAAAAATCAAAATCATCACCGAAAATTCGGAACTCACTAGACCTTCTTGTGCGAATTTTAGGGGAACTGTCCGTCAGGCGAGGGTGAGAACTCCACCGGCAGCTGTGGATCCGCCAAATCCCCTATCAACATTCCCACCACCTCCCATCATCGATCGCCTACGAGATAATATTTATTATAAATAAAGAAGAATAGGAAAAAATCAACTAAAGCAAGAATGCATTAGGAATCAAGTATATTTTTCACATACCAAAATAAAATGAGATTTACAGATAATCAAATGTCAAGGCCCCATTCATCATCGTCACTCCCATTATTAGAATTGTGGTTCTTCTGAGAATCTTCTTCACTGCTACAATAGCCAACCAAAGTGTCATCCAACTCATCTTCGTTCTCGATGTCATCTAGGCGTACAACCGCACTAACTTCATGTGAGCTTTCAATTATTGTATCGGCAATATCTTCGGGATCTATGTCCTTCCTATTCAACAACTCTATTTCATCAATACTAATGGTAAGCACATCATTTACATCATTTGCCTGATATACTTCATCTTCCACAGCCAAGATATCATCAACATCCATTTCTTCATCTTGCGTCTCATCAACATCATAAACATGCCTATGTTGGAAAGGTTGTACTACTCGCCAATCATTTCCTAATTTAGGATCTTTGATGTAAAAAACTTGTCTTGCTTGATTTGCTAGTATGCAAGAATCATTCCCATACCACTTTTTACTAACTCTAACGCTCACAATATTTTCGTCCTTCTGTATCCCTGGTCTTTTTTTGCACCCAAGATCAAACCAATCACATTTGAAAATGGTAACATGCCTATCTTTCACATAATCAAGTTGAATTATCTCGCTCAAGGCCCCATAAAAATCAATGAAATCTCCTCCATGGTTACCTTCTACTACAACCCCACTATTCTGAGTTTTACGCCTATTATCACGTTCCTTAGTTAGAAACCTTACTCCATTTACAATGCACCCGGAATATTTTCTCACACATTTTTTAGGTGCACAGGCCATGGCATACAAAGACTCATGTGATTTAGATGGTTCTTCATGATATAACAAGGTCATCTAAAAAATACAAATAAAATTCTTAAAAATATAATGGAGTTAACTAAAAAAATAAAGATATATAATTAACAACATAACTTTACATGTTTTTTGAACCATGCAGGAAATAACTCTTTATGGCTTTTATCTATATTTTCACAACCACCTAATAGAAGTTCCTCCTTGTGCTTCCTACAACAAGTAACAATATATATGTTAGAAAATTATAAATACTATGTTATATGTTGTCTTTTATGCGTAAGATACAATCACAGACTTACTCAAGATATGGTTCAACCTCTTCACAATTTTGAAAGACAAACCATTGAGTCATATTAAACTCCTCTTCTGACAATTCCACAAAGCTTGCTGCTCCAAAATGCCGACATTTTTGTGAGAAAATCGATAGGCTATCATCAAGCATGACATCAACATTTCTCTCATCTCTATTAAATCTAGTTTCAATTCCATGCAAATACATAGAGAAAAAAGTTAAGCACTCTTTTGCTATGTACGCTTCTGCAACTGAACCTTCTGGATGAGCTTTATTGTGCACGGTTTGCTTCAAGTCACCTAAAAACCTGTAAAATTTAATAAAAATTATTTTACATTACAATCAATCAAAACATTATCCAAATTTATAAAGATAAGCGATACCATAATTTAACTTATTACCTTTCAATGGGATACATCCATCTAAACTGAACGGGGCCATCGAGCAATGCCTCATTGGGTAAATGAATAGACAGATGAACCATGACGTCAAAGAAAGCAGGAGGGTATATCTTTTCAAGTTTACACAATATAATGACTATATCTTCTTTCATTTGCTCTAGTTCAGTTTTTTTTCAGCTTCTGGCAGCACAAATGTTGAAAGAAATGACCCAACTCTGCTAATACGTCACACACTTCTTTATTTCATGACCCCCGAATTCCAGTGGGAATTATTCGTTGTAAGAGTACATGACAATCATGGCTTTTCAATCCAGATATCTTTTGATCACGCGAACTCACACAACGAGAGATATTGATGCATCCCCATCTGGAAATTTTACGGACTTTAGAAACTCACAAAACTCTTGTTTTTCTTTTTTATTCATAACATAACATGCAGCAGGCATATTATATTTTCCGTCACTTCTCTTGGTTAAGTGCAGCTCCTTCCGAATTTTCATATCTTCCAAGTCTTGTCTTGCCTTGACAGTGTCTTTCGTTTTTTAATCTAAATTCATCAAGGTTCCTAATATACTCTCACATATATTCTTCTCAATATGCATTACATCTAAGATATGCCTTAACTTCAACTTACTCCAATAAGTCAAATAAAAAAGAATGTTGCGCTTTGTCCAGTTCAATTCCTCCGGCTTTGTTTTCCTCTTTTTGCTGCTATGCTTTCCAGCTGGATTCGTTTTTGGCATTCTCTCCAATTGCATTAATATATCCTCTCCTGTTAAATCTCTGGGTGCTTCGCTATCTTCTCTCTTCCCATTGAATCTCCTACTTCTTCTCCCAGCATGATCTTTCTGTAAATAACGTCGGTGCCCCATGTAACATATCTTATTTCTCAATCTCGAAGAGTAAGTGTTCTCATTACAAACTGGACAAGCCATATACCCTTTAGTACTCCACCCAGATAGATCATCATATGCTGGAAAGTCATTTATCGTCCACAAAACAACAACATGCAATTGGAAATTTTCTTTATGGGAGACGTCATATGTTTCTACACCATTAACCCACAATTCTATCAACTCTTCAATTAATGGCTGTAGGTAAACATCAATATCTTTTCCTGGTGTGTTCTTCCCGGGAATAACCAACGACAACATAAAATATGGTTGCTTCATACAATCCCAAGGGGGGAGATTCAATGGGGAGAGAATCACTGGATATGCTATAAGTGGAGCTCAAGTTTCCAAATGGATTAAAACCATCTGCAGCTAAAGCTAGTCTGATATTTCTGGGATCATTTGAAAACCATGGAAACTCTCTGTCAAAGTTCTTCCATGCCATAGAATTTGCAGGATGCCTCATGTAATCATCATCAATGCGTTTGTCCTTATGCCAGACCATCTTATTAGACGTTTTATGAGATATGAAAAGTTGTTGAAGTCTGGGTGTTAATGGGAAGTACCTTAAGATCTTTTGTGGTATCTTTTTTCCTACACCATCATTGACTTTCCACCGAGAAGTTTTGCAAACAGGGTAAATCTCCAATTTCTCGTTCTCCTTCCAAAATAAGGCACAATCGTATTTACAAGCATGGATGCATTTATATCCTAATCCCATATCTCGCAAAAATCTTTTAGCTTCATAACAAGTATTTGGAAGTGTCTCGCCATCAGGAAAAGATAACTTCATTAACTTCAAAATCATATCTATTGTTTTATTACTTAATCTATTATAAACTTTCAAATGGAGTAATTGGATGATAAATGAAGTCCTTGAAATCTTTTTACATCATGGATACAACTCCGTCTTCGCATCCATCATCAATGACTCGAGATATGCTGGAAGACCATCAGTACTGTTATTATTTCTGGAATTCATACTGGTTTGGTATTTCTCTGCAAATTCAAATAGCATGTCACTAATACCATCATCTTCATCTTCAACTTCATCTTCATCACTGTGATCTGATGACTCTTTGTTGATTCCATCACTAGCACCAGTATATGAACTTCCTGGATTATTCGAACTTAGTTCACCATGATAAAACCATGTGATGTACCCCGGATCCATCCCACGCATCATGATATGACTTTCCACTGTTTTTTGATCTTTTATTGATAAATTCAGGCAGTCTGTACAGGGGCATCGAATATCACATTCCTTTCCCATATGAGATTCGACAAATTTCATAAACGTGTTTACTCCATCCAAGTAAACATCAGACCATTTAGCTTCTCGCATCCAACTTTTGTCCATTTCTTGCTAAACCTAAAATAAATCATATAAAATAATGGATCATAATTTTTTCACGTAGAGGTTGAAAATAACAACAAATTATGAGACGGATATAAAATGAACCAAGCAAATGTACATAATTCCTGAAACTCTAGCCCAATTAGGGGTGTGCATCGGTCGGTTCGGTCGAACCGAAATAGCAAAATCGAACTAGCTGAATTAGCAATGGCAATAACTGAAACCGTGATGGATAAATAAATTGTCTGCTTTCTATTAAACAAAGAATTCTACTGACTAACTAAACAAGTCGAGCACCCTTGACGGTGAAACAAAAAGATGCAGCGTAGCGAACAAAAAAGACGCAATTTTTTTTTCTCCCAGAGTAAAAAAAAAAAGAACTTGTACCTTGTAGAGAGTTGAGATGAATTGAGAATTTGGGAGGGAGACGAAAAATTGGGACACCCTTGACGGTGAACAACCATGTTCTCCGTACGGTGGTACCTCCAAGCTCAGCGCCGGTGACCCATAACCCTCTCTACTACACAGTACACGCAGTCAGAGGCTTCTTGACGAGTGAGAACTGAGATCACTGGAGGAGACGACTGGTGACCTGGGGTTAGGGAATATTTGGGGGTCTGAGGCGATTAAGGATTGGGGAACTATTTGAGGCCTGATGCGATTAAAACTTTAGATGAACTCAGAAGATAAGAAGATGAAATTTGAGAACAATGGAGGCGAGCGGGATTAATTCTTTGCCTTCAGTTGCTGCTGCTTTGCCTTTTCTTACAATTGGTTTGTTAGTTACAATAATAATAACAATAATACAATATTTACTATATTATATGTATAATTTATTCAACTAATAATATTTTTGAATGAAATATATTCATATGTAAAAAATGTAATAATGTTTTTACGTTTATAAAAAAAATAAAAAGTGAATTTCAAGTCGAATCGTTTATATACCCTTGTCTTAAGAGAATGAATATGATTAATCATGAACTAATTTTATTGTAAATCAAATACGAATAGGAATAATATAAGTTTTTTAAAAAATCTATACATATATACGTCTCGATTTTTTTTTTTTCGCCGGTAGGATTTGATTTTCAATTTTTGATTTTTTCGCTGGTTCGAATCGTTTATATACCCTTGTCTTAAGCAAATAAATATGAATCATGAATTAATTTTATTGTAAATCGAATACGAATAAGTATAATATAAGTTTTTTAAAAAATCTATACATATATATAAAAGTAGTCGGTACATCATTTAATTTTTCGCCGGTAGGATTTGATTTTCGATTTTCGATTTTTTCGACAATTCGAATCGTTTATATACCCTTGTCTTAAACGAAAGAATATGAACCATGAATTAATTTTATTGTAAATCGAATACGAATAAGAGTAATATACGTCTTTTAAAAAATCTATACATATATACGTCTCGATTTATTTTTTTGCCGGTAGGATTTGATTTTCGATTTTTTCGTCGGTTCGAATCGTTTATATACCCCTGTCTTAAGAGAATGAGTATGAATCATGAATTAATTTTATTGTAAATCGAATACGAATAAGTATAATATAAGTTTTTTTAGAAACTATTCATATATAAAAGTAGTCGGTACGTCATTTATTTTTTAGCCGGTAGGATTTGATTTTCGATTTTCTATTTTTTTGCCGGTTCGAATCGTTTACATACCCTTATCTTAAACGAACGAATGAATATGAATCATGAATTAATTTTATTGTAAATCGAATACGAATAAGAATAATATAAGTTTTTTAAAAATCTACACATATATTAATTAATTAGCTTAAATATTTGAATGATTTAAGTTAACATAATATTTAATTAACAATTTTTTGTATATAAATTTACTATATAAAATATTATGTCATATGCCTTATTAACCTTATCAATAGCCTATATTTGTTAAAGTGTCAGTAAGAATCCAAATTATACCAAGTGGATGAAAATCCATCTCATTCTCATCACTCAACAAATGTCGTGAAAGGTCACTCACCAATTTCAACCTTCTCATTCTCGTCACTCACCAATTAAGTCCTTAACCCCAATTTCAACCTAACTTGCAGACCAAAACCGTACTATGTTGATCTCATCTCCCAAATACAACCTAAAAATTGAATCAATTTCACGAGGGAATAGGAATTCAATCTTGGCACAATTGATGACGTCTGCCAATTGGTGCTCGAAATCTTCAGCGAGGACGAGGACAGAGGCGGAGTTCGTGCGCTCTCTGGAGGTCGACTAGTCGGTAGAGGGTGAGGTTGTGGGTGGTGTGAGCGGACGGCAGAGTCTGCAGCGTGGGGGAGTAGGTGGTGTGGTTGAGGGACAACTACTTTTCGATGGAGGTCCAGTCGTCGGTCACGCCGGTGCAAAGTTTCGGTAGAGACATCATCATGCCCAGGAGCTCGCCGGCTCAGATATCTGCAACACTTTCCTGAACCAGATGTAGAGCCACGAGATGCTGGCCAAGTTCCTCCAGTCCGCAAATGGAGATGGTGATCTACGGCATCGGCAACATTGGAGCTTCTTAGTGAACTACCTTCTAAAGACTTCTTAGTCGATGAAAGATTCATTCGAGCTATTTGGATGCTGCTCGAGCTCGCTCTCCTGATGAAGAAGAGATTTGACTGGATTGGGGATGGTGTGAGCGGATGGCCGAGTCTGCAGCGTGGCGGAGCAGGTGTTATGGCCGAGGGACAGCCACTTCTCGATGGAGGTCCAGTCGTCGGTCACGGTGGTGCTGAGACTAGCCAGAGACCTCATCACGCCCATGGTAATCGGGCACCACAGGTACCGATTTTACACACTTGAAAAATTAAAAAGAAAATTATAATTTTTATCTAGCAAAATAAGTAGCGGGACAAATGTTTTTTGGCGCTCAAAATTTGAGCTTAATTAGGAATTTTTTTTATCTAATTAGGTAGAGAAACAAAGGGTTTAAAGATTTCGTGCCTCCGTCAATCTCTCCCTTTTTTATTCTGCTCAAATATATATACACATATAGGTTATACTGAGCACTACATCAAAAAAGTAGTCGAAAATGCAAAACACAGGCCTCCTTACAATCTTTTCCTGGTGAAGTTTTCACCGTTCATGTATAAGATTTATGTTTTTACAGATTTTTATATTGGCTCACCTTTATTCTGATTCTATCTTTGTATAATCATAATAGCTGAAGGTGTGAAATTTGTGTTTAATATTATGTTTCATATTCTTTTTCATGTTCTGATTCTGTCTTTGTATAATCATAATAGCTGAAGCTGAAGGTGTAAAATTTTGTGTTTCATATTATGTTCCATATTCTGATTCTATCTACGGCTCACCTGATTCATTTTATGATTCTATTTTTTTTCTGGTGATGAACTTTCTTCATCTTTCATGTATAAAATTTGTGTTTTTACAGATTTTTTCTTCACCTTTCATGTATAAAAGGCAACTGAAGGTGCAATTTTTTATTTATTATTAAAATCTACATGTGTTATACGACTTTGTGAGTTATTAAAAACATAGTTACTGGTTACCTGTCTTTCTTAGGATAATTTATGCCTATGCAGTGCAATCTAAGACGATGTTAATTTGTATGTGTGTAAATAGTTGTCCCACCTTTTGTGAATGTAATAGGATTTGTTAACCATCTTGCTAGCCAAGAGCTTAACATATCCTAATATATGCTGCGCCAATTATATGCAAGCTGCCTATATTGTCTGAATGAATTAGAATTTTGTACTCCTCTCGCTGGTCAAAAGGATATTTAAGCCCTAATATATGCCTACATTTTTGCTCTCTTATGTAGATTTCTACGAATGGCGCCAGGAAATCGTTAAAAAACAGTTATTTCAAAAGCTTCTCTACAAAGTCTCCTTAACCAAGCTGCCAAGGATAGCTCAACTGCTGCGTCAGCTCGTATTGGAGTCAGAAAACTTTTTAACCAATCAAATATGTCATCTGATGGAGTGGTCGGAGCAAGTCGAACCGCAGAAGTTCATAATGGTTCTTCTGGTGATAATACTTCTGGAAATCACACTAATGAGAGTGGCATTCCACAAACCCTTGAAGCTCCCAACCAAAATCTGAATTTGGATGCAGCTGAAGGTTCAACTGGTAACCTTTAGGAGACATCAGTCAAAGGTACAATATGTTTTTTACTTACTGTTGGAATAGTTGCAGGTACATTATGTTATATATTTTTTACTTAGGATAACTGTTCAAATAGTTGCTGTTTACAGTGAATAGTTGTTGTTTTCGTTATTTTTGTTATGTTGGACTTTGTTGTTGTTCACTTACTAAGGCGTGTTTTCTTTTTTCCCCTTTTTTATTCATTCTATTTTACTTTTTTTAACCAATCAAATGTGTTATGGAGTGGTCGGAGCAAGTCGAACTACTGAAGTTCATAATGGTTCTTCTGGTGATAATACTACAGCAAATCACACTAATGAGAGTGGCATTCCACAAACCCTTGAAGCTCCCAACCAAAATCTGAATTTGGATGCAGCTGAAGGTTCAACTGGTAACCTTTAGGAGAAATCAGTCAAAGGTACAATATGTTTTTTACTTACTGTTGGAATAGTTGCAGGTACATTATGTTTTTTGTTTTTTGCTTAGGATAACTATTGGAATAGTTGCTGGTTACAGTAAATAGTTGTTGTTTCTGTTATTTCCGTTATGTTGGACTTTGTTACTTTTTACTTACTAAGGCGTGTTTCCCTTTTTCCCGTTTTTTATTCATTCTATTTTACTTATCAAAACGTTGTCGTTTTTGCTTGGGAACATGGATGCATGTACGGACGTGAGATATATCTCATCGTCTTGTTCCTTTTCTGAGTGTAAGCTCCATATATTTTCTCTGAAATAAGAAATGGTGTCCTCTTAAAATTATCTCCCGTCGATTCAAATATTGATTTCAACAATATCAACATGAATTGATATCAAATTGCTATCGTCATGTTTGGAACCATGAATTTTATTAATTCTTATTGTTTTGTTGTGCATGCTGTGACTTGTGGATTATTTTGTTGTGCATGCTAGTAGCTGGTCCATGTTGTATTGTGCATGCTGTTAATGAACAAACAATATATTTAATTTCATGCCTTCTTGAAAATATTTGTGTAGGCATATTAGTAAAAAAAACCATGAACTTATTTTGGACTGTCGCATTTTGTCCACTTATTTGTCTGTCAATGTTGCACAATTGTCTTTTGATTTATGAATGAGTTCGAATCTTAAAAACTTTGAATAAAATAGTTAGGAATTAGTATATGTGTCCTCTATTAATGAAATGTAATGTTCTTTGTTACCAGACAAAGCTTCCATCCCTAAGAGAAGACGTGGTCAAACAATGGGTAAGGGAATTATGAAAGCATTTCATACCTCCGGAAAGAAATTGAAGATATATGTGGATCCACTGATAGAACGGCCCAAAAGTCGAGAGCAATCTGCAAAGCTCTCAAGTCAAATTGATGTAGTAGCTCGAGATGTCCTTCCAGTGCCAAGAAAATGGAAAGAAATGGCTGAAGAAAAATTGTTGGAACCAGACATTGATCATATAAAGGTAGCTATAAAATAAGAATAAAAATGACATGTTTTCTTTTTCTTGTATATGTAAAAATTTGTTAAATGTGATGTTCAGATTCATATGGATGTCAACTTGGATGTACCGGGTGTAAGGCACTGCTTGCTTGATAGGTTGAAATCTACCTCTCGACAAATTCGTTACAGGTTACATAAGAATTACAAGAAGTATGCAACCCCAGAAGAGGCTAAGAATAATAAGCCACCATTTTGTGCTAGTAAGGAAAATTGGGACGAACTATGTGATTATTTTGCATCAGCTAAGTTCAAGGTAATGTCTCTTGAGATTGGTACTCTTATTGATATACATTGGGAATATTTCTTATGTCGCAATTTCTTGTTTCAGCACCAAAGTTCAACTAACACTATAAATCGACAAATGTTAAGGACCCCGCATATATCTGGCAGAACTCCTTTTTTCTACTCTTCAACATGAAATTGTAAGTTGTAAACATGCAATTATGTTTTACAATATTTCCATATCCTGTACATTTTATTTTTCATTTATTATTCATATCCTCTACATTTTATTTTTATATGTAAGTTCATATCCTGTACAATTATGGGACGAACTCTGTTTTACAATATTTTACAATTATGTTTTGCCATTATGTTTCTAGAAAAAGGTTCATGTCCTGTACATTTTATTTTTATTTTTATTCTTTGCTAGGCGCAGAAGGATGTTAATAGAGTTGCTAATGGAGATGCTGATGGAGATGCTGGGGACATAATTGAGTTCTACAAACTCACACATTGCACTGATAAACATGGTTGGTCAACTGATGAGGCAAACGAAAATTGGGTAACTCACACTTTCATATTGCTATTGTATTGTTATTTTTTAGATAGGTATGATATATGTTTGTAATCCATCAGGAGTTGATGGTATCGAGGCGAGAAAAATATGCAGCGGAAGGAGCTGAGAAGACGAACGAAGAAATAGTTCACGAGGTGCTTGGTCCAAGATCTACTTATCTAAAAGGACTTGGTTATCAGAAGAATCACTTAAATAAACGCATTTATGCTCCCGCCAACCAATACCTTCAAAAGGTATAAGAGCTTCAGGAAATACAAGAAAAGCTAATAGCATCAGAATCACGAGTGAGTGAGCTCGTGGACCAAGTTAATGACATGAAGAACTTAATGGGCCAACAAGGTGCAGATATTGAAAAGCTTAAGGCATTCATGGCTTCCAAAGGAAATAGTTGAGGTAAAAGTCCAATATAAACAATGGGGTTCATTTTTTATTTTGTGAAAATATGCTTTGATAAATGAAAATATATGTGCTAAGTTAAATATTTTAAATTTACAGGTGAATGGATGCTAGTGGATTTACCAAGACATTTCCGACAATGTGTAATTCAGCGAGAGTGGAAAATAAGCCTATGGATTTGCAGATTTATCTCTTATATATTTATTTAGTATTTTTTTACTTAATATTCCAAGTACTATTGTTTTTGTTTTCAATTATTAATACTTCAAATCATTCCTTCTATTGATACTCATTATCTTTAAATATGTTGTTATTTCATATCTAATTTACTGGCTAATTGCAATAGTATTATTATGAATTTTTGTGATAATTTTCAATTGGTAACTAAAAGTAATCTTTCGTGACGCAATGTATGGTCAAATATAAATTCACGATTTATGGCATAAAATGACTTATTTATGACTAATAGTTTGTCACACTAAAGTTCTTTCAAGTGACGGTACATTTGTCATAGATATTCTTTGATTATGACAAATTTATAGTCATTATACCTACATATTTAGTGACAATTGTCTTTTGCGTCATATAGTTGTACTTTTTCATGATAGAATATATCGTCATATTTTTATACACATTTGGTGACGATAAACATCATGTCATATAATACGAACTTTCTATGACTAAATATATCATCACCTTTAACATATTCATCTGGTGACAAAGAATGTTTCATCATTAAACGTACTTTTATGTGACTTGTTTGTTCGTCATTATAAATATTTTTATTGGTGACAAATAATATTTCATCATTAAAACGTACTTTTATGTGACATGTTCGTTCGTCATTATAAATATTTCATTGGTGACAAATAAATTTTTGTTAACTATAATACAACTCTTTTATGACAATTATATTATAGATGACAAGTCTTATTGGAAATTGAGACAAACTGACTGTCATTATATTTTAATAAAAATGACGATAAAATTAATTTTGTCATTATATGTGATTTTTTAGATGACGAAACCATATATGTTCGTCATATAAAGGCTAACTTTTAGTGACAATTAGATAATTTTGTGACAAACATTTTATGATAAATGTGACAAATCAATCGTCACCGAATCTCACAAAGGTATAATGACAATACTAATTTTTATCACAAATACTAAACATTAGATGAAAAATTGAAAAAATTGTCATATAGACTTAATATGACGCGGCTACAGTGACAAACTCTGTGACACTAAAAATTCGTCATAAAAAATATTCGGTGACGAAAATTCACATTTTTATGAAAATTTTTTTTGTCATATTTTTTCAGAATTCTTGTAGTGTTGTGACTGCGCCTATTGTTATTGCTCCGAATTGGTTGTTACCCTTTGAGATTATGTGTGATGCGTCAAATCTTGCGGTTGGAGCCGTCTTGGGCCAACGAGATGATAAATTACTTCGTGTAATTTATTATGCTAGTTTGACCCTAAACGGCGCCCAATTGAATTATACTACCGCCGAAAAAGAACTTTTAGCCGTAATAATTTCTCTTGAGAAGTTTCGGTCTTACATTTCGGGATCGAAAGTGGTTGTTCATTCCGAAATTGCGGCTTTTAGGTATTTTTTGAGAAAAACTCAATCAAAACCTAGACTTATTCGGTGGATTTTACTTTTACAAGAATTTGACGTAGAAATTTGGGATAGAAAGGGTTGAGAAAATAGAGTAGCGGATCATTTGTCTCGCATTATTCCTTCTGATTCTTCACTTGCATTGCATGAGCATGTTAATATTAATGCTGACATTCCATATGAGCAAGTGGGTGAAGTAACTAGCTATCCTTGGTATAAGGACATAGTGAACTATTTATCAGATGGAGTTTCGTTACCTAACCTCTCTTCCCAAGAGAGGAAACGATTTGTTTTGATGTGCAAAAGCTACTTTTGGGACGAGCCGTTCCTTTACAAGATGGGAAAAGATGAGGTTCTTCGGAGGTGTGTACCAGAAGAGGAGCAAGCGGACGTTCTTGCCTTTTGCCACGAGCTCCATTGCGGAGGCCATTTTTGAGGTCGAAAGACCGCCTTTAAGGTCCTTCAATCAGGTTTATTTTGGCCTACTATTTTTAGAGATGCTCATAATTTTTGCAAATCTTGTGACCGTTGTCAAAGGATTGGGAATATCGGTTCTAGAAATGAAATGCCATTAGTTAACAATCTTCAAGTGGAAATTTTTTATGTTTGGGGCATTGATTTTATGGGACCATTTCCTAAATTCTTTGGTTTCGAGTATATTTTACTTGCTGTTGATTATGTGTCCAAGTGGTTCGAGGCTATCCCCACAAAGACATGCGACGCTAACGTAGTGATCAAGTTTTTGCAAGGAAATATATTGACTAGGTTTGGATTTCCACGGGCAATCGTGAGTGACGGGGGCAATCATTTTTGCAACCGCATATTCGAGAAGTTGATGAAAAAGTACGAAATATCGCACAAGGTGGCGACCCCTTATCATCCACAAACGTCAGGCCAAGTGGAAACGAGCAACAAGCAAATTAAGACCATTCTTGAAAAGACGATGAATTCGTCCCGGAAGGATTGGTCCCGTCAACTTGACGATGCATTATGGGCCCAACGAACAACGTATAAGGGTGTTTTGGGGATGAGCCCTTTTCAGCTTGTCTACGAAAAGGCATGCCACCTTTCAGTCGAGATCGAGCACAAAGCATTTTAGGCGATAAAGAAGAT